TTCCACATAGTATTTATACTTTCTTTTCTCTATTTATAAAACTTGGTCAAAATTATCTGTTACGTTGCACCTTGTCGTTCGAATAGTAAGTTGGATTCCGTAATTATAGTGGAACAAGTCGCATGATAAAATCACTCACTTTTTCTTACTTTTGCTTTGAATTAGAACTAATAGACTATGAGTATCTGTTGTGTGTAATCTTTCTTTTCTATCAAAATACATGGCAACAATTATTCCAGTCTCAAGGTCATGTCATTTTTGAAGTTTGCAACTCTCTAATTACCAATTGATTGGCTACAATCCATAATTCATCCATTTTGAACCGCTTTAAAATCAGTATATTCGTAATTAAGAACGGGAATGTACATCATTATAGAGAATCTGATTGAAGAAGCGCTTGCAACATCATTAAACGATTTAAATCATTGCGATGATGTAATCGAAATGGTCGATTCACCACGATCTCAATATCTTGCTGTCCAAGGTGCTGCTTCGCTTTCGTTTTTGCATATTTGAGTGTTTTTGTTCATCTTTTTCGTTTTGACAATTTCATTTTGCTTCCACTGTTTGTTTATTATTGAGGAAAATTTTAAGGGCAAAAAAAAAAATTATATGACAGCAGTGCATTTTGACTTTATTTTGCTTCACACATATTTGTGAAATGCATGATGCATATCTTTTACAAAACATGTAAATGAATGGTATGCTAATTTGATCATTGTTAACTTACCATTCCATTTTAGTTTCTAAATAGTTCTGCTGCTTCTAGATCTTCGCTGTCAAAATAATTGGAATGACGAGCTTGGATTAACTTGGATTTAATTCTGCCACTTTTTACAGTTTATGTTCATATTTGTTTTGTAGGTGTATGCATGTTAATTACTTGCAGCATGTTTTGAGACAAAAATGCATTTCATGTCAACAACGCATGGCAATGTGGTATTTTTCAATGTAGCTGGTGATGTTTTTTGCTAGATGTGATATACAGTGCAGTTGCATGCCTCATAGTACCTCATAATCTACAATCCACAACTTGCATTTGTCGTCCGTCGATATATTTGCACTTTTCAAGATGAACAATGCAATAGATGGTCAGCGAATTTCAGCTCACTTCACCGATCCCGAGTATATTGAAGCGAGAATGACTCAGTCAGTTCATGATGGCATCATTCAACGACGACGGCCTGTGGGAAAAGCAGAGCTAATCTCAACTCATACCGTCATGTCACAGAATCCACTGCCCGGTGTTGTAACTGGTGATTGTAAGTGTGGCTGTATCAGTAGTAGCGCTGTTGTATTGCTTGTTAAGACTCTCAAAGTATTCTCATTGCATCAAATTCTCCTTTATCTGCAGTTTTTTACTTTGCGGTGGGTAGCACAAGTCAAATCCTTAAAAATGGATTACTTTCATCTCTTATTTGTCTCCACAATAAGTTTTTCCGTTAAATTATGCCATGATACACTTACAAATTTCACATAGATTGCACAAGACACGAAATTGAATTGTGAATGCAAGTTACGAAAATTGAGTTTTAGGAATTTTTCTGTTAAATCCTGTTTTGTAGATAATTTGCTAGATTCTTTAATGCTACCCTGCTGTTTGAAAGCTTTTTAAAAAGAGGTTTCGCATTCGCACGGTATTTGTTTTATTTCTTACTTTTTCATATAGATACTGTAGATATTCAGAAATAGTTAGAAATTATGCCAGTAATTCTGTTTCCAGGCATATTTGTAATCACTTCTCGTCAATACACCGCACATTTTCATGAAAAAAATAAATTTTGATATTTCATATCTCCACCTTAAAAATTTCGCATTTCTTCCTAATACCTCAACAAACATAAATTCAGGTAATGGTACTTTAACACGGAGTTATCATCAATCATCGACTAGCCTTGAAGGACGACAAAGAACGCCTCAAATTGTTTATACAAATACAGGCCGACATCAGGTGTTTCTTTAGTTTATGTTTAGGGAAAATGTAAACACTTTTGGGAGATATTTTGAATAAAAGGAGTAAGTAACAACGATTATTTTTGAAAGGAAAATCATCTAAAAAAATGTCGAAGAATTGAATACTTAATGAAGTTTGTACATATTTAAAAATTTGAAGTTATATTTATATTAACGCACATTTGAAGTCACATATTTGAAGTTAATTAAAAACATATTTGAGGTTAATTAAAAACAAAAGAAATGTTTAATATACAAAGTCGGTTTATACGGTGTAGTATTATTTAGTAAGGACTCAAACATTAATTTAAATCAAAGGAGTTAAAAATTGTCGAATGTTGATTTTCTCCAGGTAGCTAAAATCGATTTTTCTGACCATAGCTCGACGTACAGTTCATCTCAGGCACTTCACATATCGACCCCACCTCCGCCCCAATTACCTAATCAAGGACCGCCCGTTGCTCCACCCACTCAATTGCTCAACAACGATGGTTATCGGACGTTGCGCAGAAATTCTGTCAATTCAAATCCGTTAAAATCATTTACACAACTTGCTGGAGCACCACCACCAATCACTCCCTCATCAGGCATGTTAACTTTTGTTTGAAGAAAAAAAACTGATCATTAATTATTCGTGTTTCTTTTAATAGTATAGTATATTTTGTTTAAGTTTTAACTGTTTACTACTTAATGTCTGTTCCATATTTCACATTGAGCATCAGAAGCACTATCTATTAATGAATATTTCTAGGATCAGGTGAGCGAATGGCGCATGTAGTTAGACCGCTAGTTGTTGCATCTCCAAATAATAGGAACGGAAAGCCTGCTGGTGTTGTTATTGGTCAGAAGTCATCTCATGTTCCTGTGGGACGTGCAACTGCACAACCGCGTGTTAACGTCAATAATATTTACTCACCATATGCATCTTGTGTGATGCCGGAGAAAGCTGCATTGCAACGTGAAAATGTTATTGAAGCGCAACCATTACAGGTTCTTCTTTTGCTTATTTTCACCAAACACTGAGGTTTTAATTTCATGGTCTGATGTGCTTGTAAACATTGCATCCAAGAGATGTTTCACCGATTAATGAAATTCTAGGATGATTAATTTCACAATAACCACATTTTTTCTCTTCCTTTAAAGTGTTTTCATGTTTCAGGCTTCGGCTTCCACAGAGGAACTGAATGCGCAAATGGAAAATCTGGACACAATGATTGATGATTTGCAAGCGCTTCAACATGAATTCAGTGCAACTACATGAATGATTGTGTATTGTTGAATTGGTTGTTATATGAGTGCTATCTTCAACTTTCCAGTAATTTCTCAGAAATTCCTCAGCAAGCTGGTCGATGACGATCTCAGTTCTCGGTGTGTTTTATTAAATGGATATATGTTAATCCCAACATATAGCAGCACTCCATGAATGGTTACGCTTTATTAATTTGTTATGATCCATTTTACCATAGTGTTGAATTACTAAAAATAATTTTGACCGTCAACAAGTTGATTTTCTTATAACAGTTTTACAATCATTTCCTTTCTTTTCAGCGCCCTTTTCAATACAGATAATTTTTTTTACTTTAGAAATCACCTAAAAACTTAAAAACTCCGATGCTTTATCATATAAGGACGTGAAACTGCGCCTTATTGTTTTATATATTATTTTTTTTTTTTTTTTCAAAAATTTTCTCTAGGAATCATTAAAATGTGAACCACTTTTTCTGATTCACATAAAACCTTGTTGTTGAGATTTTTCGTTGTTACTAACATATTGTTAAATTCGACTGAAGTAGAACTAAAATCTTGCAAATCTAAATATAAATTGAAATCTGAGGAAGAAATAACAGTGGTGTATATAATGTTCATGTCTCTTCCTTGTTCTATTTTTTTTTTTTTTTTTTTTTTGCATTTAGCAGCAAATAACCTTTATAACCAGTTTTGGTACATAGTTTATGTAAAGGTCAAAAATAATATCATATCAAATAGTAAAAGCATAGTAGAGATTGCCGATGCCATATTACTAAGTGGTGTAGAAATTGAAGAGATTAACAAATAGAAGTTGAACTTTTCCTATTTTTTTCTTAAGTTCAAATACATCGTGTTTATCGTGTCCTGTTATTTTTTTTTTTCTTCTAAGATATGTACTGTGCATTTTGCATTTTATATCTCACCATATTCTTAGTACTAAATTTTTGCTTAAACGTATTGACTGGCTAAGAAATCAAAACTTTGTTGCCTTATGTAATCGAATGCTTTCATTTTTCCAGATTTTCTAGATTCTGATTGAATTACCATCTCTTCTTCATTTAAAATATCAAAAAATTTTATTATGTAGGCATTCAAAGCATTTGCTGTCCTTGGCTGTTTTTTTTTTCATACTTTTCAGAATTTGCTTGTCTCATTCATTACATTAAATATTAAAGCACGCATGTTAAAAGCGTATTGAATTGTTTGATACTTCAGTTATTAATTTGGCTCTGTTATATGATATTGAAGTTTCAAACTTATTATATGCACTTATGTGAAGGACTTCAGTTTAGGTATCTCCGCATTACTTTAATTTTACTAAATGTTGTAAAGTTGTGAAGTATTCATTCCATGAAATAGTTTCATAGGTTGGAAGTTCTATGAAAAAGAAGACTCATCCTAAATTTGAATTATAATTGTCTTATTAATTGTGTTTTCTTCTCATCTTTTTTTTTTTTTTTTTTTACTCTTCATGGATGCAAATAATTGAACATTTCTCTTTCATATTGTTGATCACCTTGTGTTATTGTGCATTAAAAATTTTGTACCCATCTACTACCACTGACGTCCTTTATGATGAATAAATGATTTTTTTTTTTTTTTGAATTTTGCTTATTTCTCACTTTTGTTTCTTATTTTTTTAAGAAAAGAGAAAGGATGAATAATTAAAAATAATTAAGAGAGTTACTCTGATAATGATCTATCTTTTGGTGATAATCAATACATATTTTAATTACATGTGTATATAAGCGGTTGATTCATTTCAGATTAATCATTTCCTATTGTTTTAAACATTTGCTATGTTACCTTTTCTTTTAACATTTTTACTTGACATTTTATTTATTAATGATATTCATGCACAAGAATGGCAATGCTACGATGTATTAAAACAATGCATCAGTGGTAATAGTAATTTGCTCGATATCAATATGATTAATTCTAGTAATATCAATCATTTTTGTGAAACCTATACACAATTAATTATTCCATGTTTAGCAAAAAGAGTAAGTTATACAAATTCTTTTCCATTCAGCTATTAATTTCTGTTGAATTTAGAAAATTATTTTGTACTTTAATTTCATGATCAACGATAGTTCTCGCCTAGTGATGATAATAATAGCTAATCAATTGGTCTGTTTCTTTTATTTTTTGTTTAGATATCCACAAGTAAAACTGTTCTAAGATATTTGTGCTATTTAAAGAAATCGGTATGAAATTGAAATGAAATTTTAATAAGATATATTGGTATTTCGAAATTGTTACGTGGGAGCATTTGTAGAGAATTATGATGAACACAGTTAGAAAGGAGGGAAAGAGAAACAAGATTATAATATGGTAGATATGATACGTAACTTAGTTCTGACATTATTGTGTCACTCATTTTTCCAGATGAATGAGAAGCCGGGTGTTACCTATCGTGAAAGGTATCTGGTTTTCCGGAAATGCATAGAAAATGATCTGTCGAGACAAAATGATTCGGTATGAGATTGAAATGAAATTTTAATATGATATATTGGTATTTCGAAATTGTTACGTGGGAGCATTTTTAGGGAATTATGATGAACACAGTTAAAATTCTACGTTTATACCTATACAGCTGCATTTATAATAGTATGGCAGATATGTCGCAAAGCAATTGCTTTATGTAAAACGTTTATATCTTCAGTTCTCGTTTTTTTTTTTTTCAAGCAACTTTAAGCAGTTTTTATAAAATTAGCATTAAGAGAGCAAATTTCACGTAAAATTATACAAAAAGATTTGGAAATTCTGAATTAATCACATACATGAAATTGCGATATTTATTTAAATATTTGTAAATTTCTAGTAAACTGGTTCAAAATTGTGTAGAAAAATTCCAACAACTCGTAAATGTTACTACTGGCCTTGTAAAAGTCAAGATTTTCTGACGCTTAAACGATCCAATTTAATACTTCCAAAAGAGGACGAAGAAGATAAAGACGATGAAGATTACAATGAAGCCAGTAAGAAAGAAGTTGACAAAGTTCAATTCGAAATGGCATTTTCATTACAAATAGATAAGTTTGATACTAGTTACTAATCGGTACAATGAAATTAATTACTCTCTAAATTTTAAGAAAACAGTTATGATGGTGATCATAAAACTGGGAAATGGAAGAGTAGCAGAGTTCAGATTACAAACAATTCTGTCACTCCAAACGGAAACAGTCAAATAATGAAACAGAAATTTGCCGTTTATTTCATTGCATTTGTATCGATCACAAAATATTTCATTTTGAATTGAATGAATTGAATCAATGAACTGAATATCAGTCTCTTTGTTAAATAAATCATTATAAACAGCTTATAAATAAATTCGACCAATTCACAACGATGTGATAAGAATAATAAGAGCTTGTCATAAGTATAGCGATGATATCAGTCATATCATAGCTATCATTAGCTTAGATTATTCTACGTACTAAAAAACTTAACAACTTCTTTAAAACTCAAATTAAAAATGATAAAAGAAGGGATTGTGAAGCATTTATTTATATCACAGGTAAGTAATCCCAGTAATTTCAATCATTAATGAAAACAGATTCCATTGCCTTCCATTTTATGTTTTGTATGTGTCCCAATATCGTATCACTGAAACTTTTTCCTAAAAAAAATTTTGTACAATGAGGGAATTTTTAATACTGAAATGAAATGAATTTACTAATTGACAATATGTTGTATAAATTTGTAATTAGCTTTTTTGTAAATTCAAAAAAATTTGTAAATTCAAAACAATTTTTCCATTTCACATGTTTGTACATTTAAATAAACAAAAAACAAAACTTTTAATTCTTTTTTAGAAAACGAATTTTTATGCAAATGTCGAAAATTGTAAGAAAATGCTATAAAGGTATTAGTTGCAATTATTTTAAGTTTTGAGAAGAAGGTTTAGCATCAGTCTGCTAACAAATTGATGCTAATTATTTTGCTAACATTTTTTCCATTGCTTATTTCACCAATTTTTTCAGCTCTTAAGTTTAACGGTAAACGGTGCTACGATAGGTTAGCAGAATGTGCACAAACAGCTAATATCTTATTAGATGTTAAGCGTATAAATTCAAGGATAATTGATGAATTTTGCTTCAATTATATATATGTAATTATTCCATGTTTAGCTAACAAAGTAAATTTTATTTCTCTTTTAAAACTATTATTGTTTTCTGCAATGATATTGTAATTAAATTACGTTGAATACCGTTTTCAGGCTTGTTTTTTAAAAGAACATTTTTTCTAGTGAAACATTGTTATATTATGTTATTATTGTAGTAGCACATTTCGAATTGTTTTTTATTTGACAATTAATTAATCATCTTTAAATTTATTTGTGATATCGATTTTATAAGGAAATTTTATGCAAATCATCTTTCATTCTATACTTCATTAAATTTGTTAAAAAATGATTAACTGTCAAATAAGCGAAATTAAAATGTACTGCAGTTATAGGTAGATGAACTGCATATATAATATTATGATGCCTTATAGAAAAGTATTTATTTGAAAAATAGACCTGAAAATGATATTTATGAAAATATTTGTTATCAGTTCAACTTTGTTATAAAATAGACCGATACTTTTAAGATATTTGATTAATGCGTGTTTGCTACATATAACAAAGAGAAACAGTGTGTGTATGACGTAAAACTCTTTGTAAGTAATGAAATTTAAAAATTTTAGATAGTCAAAAGAGAAGACTCAAACTTCTTCAATAAAAGCCTTATTCATATTCTTCAACATTGCAACAGCAAATACAATATGAATTATTCCAATACGGTGTGTTTTGTTTAAATAAATTAAATTACTTAATTAAATTTAGTTAGTCCATTGATAAATGAGGAAAAACAGTAGCATTTTTGCAAAAATTAAATGTAAAATATGTATAGGATAACTGATTGCTATTCTCTACCATACTAGATCAGATAATTTCAATTTCAGTTTGTTAAAATAATTCAAAGATTTCCTCATACTTATGTTTAATTTGATATATTCCTGTTAATTGAAAAAAGTAATTCTCTAAGCTAAATCCTTGTTAATTAGCACCAAATATTTTCCAAGTTTCTGAATTAATATAATAATTCGTTTCAGAAGAAAATGGTAGAATTCCAAAAAATTCAATATTTATTCTTATATGGTTGCGCTTATAACAATGCTTCTAATTTCAATAATACTTCTTGTTTCAAGTAAACTTTCCTCAGTTGCTATTTCAAAGTCATTTCCATACTTTATTTTATCAAATTTTTATACCCTATGCCTTTTCTGGTGCAAAAAAAAATTGACTTTTTTTTTGTTTTTTTATTAATTGAAAATTTAATACATTGCTAATAAATTTTTTAAAATTAAGAAAAAATAACTGAAAAAAGAACCATAGGAAAAAACAATGAAAGATGATGATAAATATTGCATATCCTAAATGTGACAAATTCTCAATTAATTTTATGGCTTACTTCTTAGCTAGTAATTCTTTCGGTTAAATAAATGCACAAAATTACTATTTGTTTAAAAGTTAATCAATTGAAGTTATCAGTAGTTGCAGTAAACTGATAAAATACTGCGTCAAGAGAAATCCACCAAATCATTTATGCTTTCATTGGCAGTGCAATAAATATGGAAAATACAAAATGCTGAAGAAATTTTATAGTAATAAAAAGAGGAAGAGAGATATATTTATCAATGACACCGAAGATTTCAATTTCTTGACAACAAATAATGAATTTGTTATATCTAAAACTGCCACCAAACTTCCATATTTTCTTCGCCGTGGTACCTTACCATTATCCGGTATTGATATGCGGAATACCGATTATGAAGACCGTATTCTGGATCCAATTCGACAACTTACTCCTGTCACTACCATATTGAATTATTATTTACAATATATCGTTATAATACTTTCCATCATTGATTTTTACTTCTTCTCCTGACTGATAATCGCAATGACCAGAAAATTTATTACCGAAATATTCGAATAGTAATTAATATCCAGTAAATTATAAAAAAAATTGGCTAGTTCATCTATCAGCCCAATGGAATTCCACTTCAGCGATAAAAGAATTGTTGCGGAGACAAACAGTAAATTTCGGATGAAGAAAATCAAACAGTGAAATTGGACAAAAACGCTAACATCGTTTTCACTTGGAACTTTATTGATATCAAAGATAGTGAAATAAACTACAAAATATAAAAAGAATACAACAGAATATGTAAAGACATAAATTAAATAATCCGTGAAATAGATGTAGGAATCGATAGAAACAGTAAATTTAGTAAAAAATACACAAATATTTCACTACAAGAACAACAGGTGCTACAAATTAAAGTTTAAATTTAATTTCGAAAGACTATTAACCTGCTAGCTGGAAATGGAACGGAAATGCGGCAGTCTTACTGAAGATGAGGAAAGTCTAGTAGTCCAGCTGAATACAAAACAAACAATGGAACTGACGTGGTTCATTAAATAGACACACATTAATTAATTAAAGGAAACAACCCAATTAAGCACATTTTAGTGTGCAAACAATCACAATAAAACACACCACAGACAGACAAACTTGAGAGAAAACTAAACACAAAAACATAAGGATATTAAGAAAAATAAACAAAATGTGAAACTCTTTCTTTTTGTTTTTGTTAAACAATCAAATGAATTTCATCGCATAATCTCGATAGCTCTCCGTTAATTTTATGTTTCTCTTGAATAAAATTAGCTCTAGCCTTGGACAAATCTCTAGATGTTCAACAAAAAATTCAACAAAAAAATTTAAATGAATCCAAAAGATTCTGGATTTTGTCGTAAACAACTAATTATTGGTGGCTGAATTCAAATGCATATGAATAAAATCACAGCATTCTCTGAATCTTTCCACAAAAATTACAGCATGAAACAAATGAAAAACCTATTCAGGAACAAATATCACGCGAATTCTCGGGTCAAAGACATGGGATTTTAATTTAAAACCAATGGAAGTTTTCTTTTTAAAAAAAAAATCCAAATTTTTACTAATTCACAATAAAGTTCATAACAAAATTGCTAAGTTCATTACTTCTTCCTAAAAAATTAAATTAATATTCTATTTAAGAATTCTCCAGCAGTAATCTATCACAAAAAAATCAGAATTTATATGTTTAGAATTATATGGATTAAACAACGTCAGCTGGATTTAAAATTAGAATATTCAATTAATTTAAATCAACGACAGATAAACAAAAGAATTTCTCTAAAAACAGGAACGAAAACCACACAAATATTCATATCAGATGCAAAATTATTTTCACGATTTCCTGGGAAAACTACAGCAAATAACCTATGCAAATATTTTTTTGTGCTCTAAATATCCCATAAATTTTAAAACAGCTGCAAGCTGTTTATAAAATATATTATATATTAAACTGCATCAAAAACATCTTCTCTGAGATCAAATTTGTCCCGAAACAATTTAAATTTCCGCATAATTTTGGCAAAAATCATAAAGCCTTAATGGCAAGAACGGGAATGGAATTAGAAAACATAATTTTCGTCGGCCATATCAATTGCCCAACGAAATTTTTCACGCTGTGTCTTGTTGAAAATTTTTTCAATTGGTACTTGATATTTTTTACACCAGGCAACTGATATCCGCGGGTCCAAATAATTCAGTTTCGATGTCGAAAGAGCAATTTGCTTATTTTCATCCTAAAATTGCAAGAATTCCAATCGTGTTCAGAAAAATCCCATTTATCTTTGAACAAATCAGATATAACGCCTTCATGTCTGCTCAATATTACCACCTTATATGACTCAGTAGGCAAATTGTTTATCCGAGAAGTTACCTTATCGGTACGCTGGATTTTCAATTTCCTCAACTGCTCTTTGACTCGATCGACACGTTTGGATGCACGTTGTTTAGCTGTATCAGAATGTGCCTTTTCTAGCTCTTCCTAAAAATGAATAACCAAGAACAGAATAATAAAATTTATTAAAAAATAAATTCTGAGGTAAATTCACAATGAAATCCATGAGAAATTTAACCTTAGCTTCTTTCAGCTCCGTTTTCTTTGCCTTTATTTTTGCTTTCAAATTTTCCATGCTTTTTTCATGACTTTTTGGCACAGCACGTTGGTGATTACATAAAATTGCAACTTGACGATTCGCTCTGTTGTAACAAAGTAGTAGTTCAGGCGCTGTTGAATCATCTCAAAATGCAATTTATTAAAACATGATGCAATCATTTTGTGAACGATTAAATAAGCTCCCCATATTCAACTCAAAAAAAAAAGTCATTCAAGCTGCTTGGAGTCAAAAAAGCATTATAAGAAGAAAACAAAATCAGATTGTTTTTTTACGAAAAGCAATTTCCTACATATTATTTGTCAATGTTCACTTTGAAAAACAATTGACCTTTGGTCAATTTGTCGAGTTGCTGTTGTAGCGTAATCGATGCGTTATATGTACGAAAAACTTTGGCAGTCAATCCTGGCATCAAGCTTTGTAAATATTTATTTAGCGATGCAGTCTGCAACATGAACGATGAAATCGAACTGAATTGCGTAATTACCGCTCTAATCCTATTTAAGCAAAATGACAGCCAGTTAAAAATTTATATATTCCTGATAATAATAAGCAAGTGCGCCACTAAGCAGCAGCGGATTATCCTGGTTGAGGAGATAGATGAAACAATAAAAATTTTGCTAAACTATCGAAAATAGTTCAGAAGTGCTTGAACAATCAGTAAAATTTGGGATTATGGCAATAAAATGAAAAAAAAAAAAAAACATGTCACTTTATTTTCGAGGAAACTTACATCAAGGCGATCGAAAAGATCATCGCTACCACTTTTATTTTCCATAAAAAGTTTCAGATTTTTAAAAACACGCTTCTCCACAGGAACTTTGTTGTAATACCGAATACTGTCTTTACCAAGAAAGTCAAATTCAACCACGTAACTGCAAATAAGCACCTAATCTTCTACAAATTTCAATTGATAGAAACGAACGCAGCAAGCATCATCATAAGTCACATTTTGATCCACAAAACCTTCGCACTTTTTTCTAAAACACTATGTCAAGGATAGCTGATAACTTACTCATTATCGTCCAATTTCTCATGAAGTTGAATGTGTTCACAACGCAATGAGCAACAACCAACAGTATCTGCCGCTTCATCCACATCTTTCTCATTACCCGCACGAAGCGCTAACTAAAACATGTATTTACAAGAAGGAACAAAAAGCATATTGAATTATGAATATGGAAATTGAAAGAATTACACACTTTATCAATGAAATAAAGTGCCACTGCTCGTTGTCGTACACGCATCTCCTTGCTTTTCAAGTCTTTTGTATAATTTTCCCTAATACTTCCAACAATATCCTTTAATCGTCTTGCTGTTTCAAATTTTTCATAGTCTTTCTCACCCTGGAAATTGAATATCGATTTTTGTAAAATGTTTCAAATTGTTCACGAAAAATAAACTGTTATATCTAACTTATTGGCAAAAGTTTCCTACAAAGTATTAAATAAATTTCCAGTAGTTCATCAAACATTACCTTAATCTTCGACGATGGATTTAGCATAATATATTTGATGGAACCTAAGATATTGTCGGTCCATGAACACAGCCATGTCACTGTATTATCATGACGTACCTCTTTCCAACGATGACCTTCCGGAGGTTTTGGTATTTCTGAATCCCTGTAACATAACATATGAATATAGAGCAAATAAGCTTTAACGAAGTTATGTTTAATCATAACTAGTGTAAATACAAAATACATATAAAAGAAAAAGACACCGATGAATTTCGCAGAATTCAAAAGAAAAAGTTACTTTGAACAATTAATAATCACATCTTCTGGATTGACTCGTTTCTTTAAACGACCCATTTTGGGATGACCACCACGTCCGCGAAACAAGTCTGGCGGTTCAATTCGAAAGTTTCCTATCTTCTGTTTATGTCCATCAATGTAAGCAACACCATAAATTTTAGCTTCCTCTTGCTTAATCTAAAAATAAATAAAAATAATAATACCATTTCTCCGACTTGGCAATCATTTATCACATTTTTTCAAACCGAACCTCCTTAAGTTTTTGCTTCTCTTCCTTACTTAAAGATCTTCGCTCTTCCCTTAATTTTACGTAATGGTCATGCATTTCTCGGAAATCACATTTCGTCAAATCCGTAATCTTTTCGCGTTCTGCAGGAGTCATTACCTAAAAGACTCAAAATGTGATTTGAGAATATCTGTCAAAGTAGTAAAATCCATCAAACAACAAAAGTGCAAACCTTCCTCCAGTCCGTAAAGAAATTTTTATTAAAAATATCCTTTGTTGTGTACTCATGTTCCAATATCTTAGCGTAAAAAGACGCAACTTCCTCCGTCAATGGTGCCAATTTCATCACCTGTAATAAGTTACCTATAGAACTTCAGCGTGCCATCACTATTCAACAAACCAAGTAGCAGACGACCTTTGCTTACCTTCCCATCGTATTTGAAGTGAATCGATTCAGGAAGTGATACATAGGGCGGGGCAAAAATGGGTCCTTTATGGGATAAACTATACCACTTGATGCCACTCGGTTTCTTTTCCTCTTCCCACCTGGAAAGCAAATGTTAAAAGGCAGTTTTTCAAGCGCGGCATTTTTTATCATTGATAAAATTGCAACATTTATAACAAATCTGGTTTTAATTCAAACAGTTAAAAAAAGAACCATTTCCAAACTTCCTCCTCGTCTTCCTCCCGTCTTTTCCGCTTATTCGATGCAATGCCATTGGCTTTTTCATTCTTTATATGGATTTTCTCAGAATTCGAAGTTGAAGCTTTTTTCCTTTCACTTGAATTTTTCCGTTTTTCTTTTTCTTCTGTAACTAAATGGATGAACAACTTTGAACAAATGTATAGCATTTAATGTATATGAATATATGGAAAATTTTAGGACTGCAACTGACCTCCAGTTTATAATCTTCATCATCTGATTCACTTTTTTTCCTTTTTTTGGTCAATGTAGCAGCTCTCACGCTCAATGGTACATCATCATCACTTTCCAGTTCTCTTTTAAGCATTTTTTTTGTC